TACAGCGTCTGCAGTTCTTTTGGTTTTTATTATGTATAATAACCTCTTTGTACAGATTGTTTAGAAATTATCTTAAGGGATATAGGGCAAAAATAGGTATACGGAATTACGCCACAAATCAGCATGACCTCAGTGAATGAATGGAAAAAATGGTTAATAGGACTAAATGACCAACTGCAGCTCCTATGATATCTACTATTCAGGTTTATACGTGAAGAAGCAGCATTTCAGCAAGCCGGCGTACCAGGTGGTATCTCTGGTGTAACAGTCCAGCATTAGATCATTACCTCAGGGACAGATGGAATAAGCAGGAGCAAATTAAAACAGAAAACTTGTGAATACCTCTCAAGTCTTCTCCTTTTCACATCTGGTTCGTCAGTTTGTGAAGAGTCTCCAGTCTTTAAGCCAGCTGCATCTTTTGCATCGGCAAGTTTATTGCCTGATCAAAAAAAAATTGTTTCATTTAAAATACTACAATTGAAGCTTGCTTACTCTATCAAATTAGTATGATTTCAAAAAATGTTATCTCAACCATGTTATCATTGAGTACAGTCTGGCAGAGATGCCTGAGACTAAATGAGACAAGGGAACAGGTGACAGTTATATGTTAATTAAGGGATAATTGGGTGTGAGCTCGATTGGGTGAATACAAAGAACAAGTAAATCAGTGTTGCTCTAGTTTTGTGATGTGTGCATATAAAGAAAGTACTTGTCTGGACTCTTTCTAATCAAAACTGAACTTCTTGCATTCGACAAACAACATTAACCTCCATGGCTCCTACATTTTTGTTACAAATGGACAGAATTAGAAAAGTTGCCAGATCATATCCTTACAATTCTAGCAAAATGGCTTCAGATGCAGCAATGAGTATTACAACTTCAAAATATAAACATGATGACAACAAAGTGTAATGGTGAAGCAGGAAATCAAATAATAATGAGCACTATAATTTGAAGGTGCCCTTGCTATTTAAGCCTAACATTACACAGCATACATTACAGTGGAGCAGATTCAATAAAGGAGGGGGTAAAGGTAAGAGAAGTAAGGAGAAAGGTCACTCTGGACTTAACCAATTTGTGGTAAAATTCTTAGAAGAATACTAGCTAACATTTGTATTAACTAGCAGTCTCAAAAGAAATTATGACTATAAACATTCGTACATGCATGGTGTATGCAACAATTTGAAGAGATTTAAAAACAACTGCGAGAGTTAATAATTACAAACAAATGAGCTCAAAAAGAATCACATCTTCGAGACTCTAAACGCTTCATAAAATACTGAAATATTCTAGATAGAGCTGAGAAGCACTTATGCAGTAACTACATAGGGAGGTGATAAGGCATGAGAATGACTCTTGGCAGCTCACCAACTCCCAAAACAAAATGAGACCAAGCTGTCCAAAGGTTTTTGCATGTCCAGCACTAAGCAATAGAATACCCCTGTGGGCCGCAAATGTCATATGAATGAATGATGCAGAAGAAAAGCAATAGTGAGCAAATCAACTGGAACAGAAAGTCAGTTTAGCAGTAAGCATGCACCCCACTCCTTTCTCACTTCTGATTGTATCCTCAAGAACACTAAACAGGAAAAGCACTGACAGTGGCATGTCAAATAGGAACCTTCACTTGGAATTAGGAACCTTAATTCGAAGAGATGAAATTGGAATCAGTCTTCACATAAAGACATTAATACATTCCAAAAATACTAAATAATTAAGGGGTAAAAGGGAAGGAAATAAAGACAGTAAGTATCACTAGAGAAAAAGTAGTAGGAAAACTAATGGGAGTAAAAGTCAATAGGTCCCTATAGACTCAATAGGATGAACCTAGGATATTAAAGAAGTAGCTACAGAGATAGTGGATGAACTAGTGTACCAAGAATCCTTAAATTCTGGGAAAACCCCACAGGATTGGAAAATTGCCAAAGTAACACCTTTATTCAAAAAAGGTAAGACAAAAAAATTGACTATAAGCCAGTTAGCTTAGCATCTGTCATTGGAAAAATGTTAGAGGCTATTAAAGAAGATGTAATAGCAGAGCATTTAGAAATAACAAAAAATAGTCAAGGGGAAATAATGCCTGACAGATTTAGCAGAACTGAAGAGATAACAAGCAGGATTAAAAAAGGAACCAAAAGATGTAAAATATTTGGAATCCAAAAAAACTACGACTACTTAATAAGATAACAGCCGAAGGTGTTGGGGTTAGTACATCAGCATGGATTGAAAACTGGATAATTAATAGAAGTTAGAGAATTGACATAAAGGCGGCATTTTCACTAACTACGAGACTGCCACAGAGATTGCGATCCCTGGGATCACAATTATTTACAACATATAGTGATGACTTGGATGAGGGAAGTGAATGTACTCTAGTCAAGTTTGCATATGACACAAAAATAGGTAGGAGGTCAAGTGATGAAGATAACACAAAGAGTCTGCAAAGGAATATAGAAAGGCTAAGTGAATGGGCAAAATCTTAGCAGATGGAATATAATGTGGGAAAATGTGAGGTCATTCACTTTGGTAGGAATAGAAAAACTGAATATTATTTAAATGGAGAAAGACTGCAGAAAGCTGCAAAGAGACTTGGGAACTGTCGAGCATAAATCACAGAAAGCTAGCACACACATTCAGCAAGTAATCACAGATCATAGATCATAGAATCCCTACAGTGTGGAAACAGGCCCTTTGGCCCAACTAGTCCACGCCAACCCTCAAAGCATCCCACCCAGACCCATCCCCCTATAACCCAGCTAAGCTATACATCCCTGTACACTACGGACAATTTTAGCATGGCCAATCCACCTAGCTTGCACATCTTTGGGCTGTGGGAGGAATCCCACGCAGATACGGGGAGAACGTGCAAACTCCACACAGACAGTCACCCAAGGGTGGAATTGAACCCGGGTCCTTGGTGCTGTGAGGCAGCAGTGCTAACCACTGAGGCACCATGCCACCCCAAATAGTGAAGGCAAATGGAACGTTAGCCATTATTTCATTGGGAATGGAATATAAAAGTAGGGAAGTCTTGCTAATACTTATAAAAGGGACTCAGACCACACTTAAAATACGAGAAGTAGTTTTGGCTCCTTTAAGAATAGATACACTGGCATTGGAAGCAGTCCACAAAAGGTTCACTGCATTTACCTGGAGTATAGAGGGATTTTTTCCATTAGGAGAGGTTTACATTAGTTGGGCTTCTACTCATTAAAGTTTAGAAGAATGAGAAACAACCTGATTGAAACAAACAAGATTCTTAGGGAGCTTGATTAGGTAGATGTGAAAGGTTTACTCCCCTTGTGTGAGAATCTTGGACCAGAGGCCATAATTTCAGATTAAAGAATTAGGACAGAGGTGAGGAAGAATTCCTTCTCTCAGAGGACTGTAGAGGCTGGACTGTTAAATATATTCAAGGCTGAGATAGATAAAATTCTAAATCAGTAACACAATTGAGGAAAGGACAGTTGACCCTACTTCAGTAAACGTTTCTAAAAAAAAGGTAGATTTTTTTTGAACAATAAAGGAATTAAGGGATATGGTGAGAATGCGGGTAAGTGGAGTCCACGAAAAGATCAGCCATGATCTTATTGAATGGCGGAGCAGGCTCGAAGGGCCAGACGGCCTACTCCTACTCCTAGTTCTTATGTAAAATGAAATTGAGGATTATCAGGTCATCCACGATCTCATTGATTGGTGGACAGATTCGATGTGCTGAATGACCTACTTCTGCTCCTATGCCTTATGGTAAGTACAACTGTCTTGTGTAATACGAATAGATAGGACAAAAAAAGGACTAGCTAATACATCCAAGGTGCCCTATTCTGCAGTGACTTAATTCCACACACCATCAGCCCCATTCATCAGCAAGCAATCCCCTGCAAGGTTTATGCATAACTACCTGCATAAAATGAGCCACCATATCAAGAACTATCCGAAATCCACCATAAACTTTAAAGATATACTTTTATAGAAAACATCAATATTTTAAGTTAGCAAATATACACAGCCAAGAGCTGAGAAGGAGAAAATAATAGAAACAACTTACTAAAATAAATTAGGAAAGCAGTGATAAATAGATTTGCTTTGCCTTTCTGTTTCATTCCCTTACAACAGATTTCAAAGCTTTTGAATTACAAATGGTACTGTCATTTTTTTTAATTTAGCAAACTTAGTACCTGTTGATTCCTTTGCTATAGGCTCTTCGTTGATTTTATTAGTATCACGTTTTTCATCCATTGTTGCTCGGAATGGCTGTCGTGGTGGATATCGGTCCCTTCTCATATCATGCATTCTTTTAAAATCCTGCACGAGAAAAAATGTGAATTCAGCATAATAAAGTCATGACCAAAACTTAAACCATTGGCTCAGACATCACAGAGGAACATTCTTCAACATGTAAGATGAAGCTGTAGTAAGAGTTCACGCAGGGACAATGGCACAGGCTGCATTAACACAGAGTTCTGAATAGCATACTGAGAAAGAAAAGAATTTTAATTGGAGCCAAATAGCTCTCCAAACCCAAAGGTGCTAGTCTAATCATGCATTCACATGGCAATCATAGAGCTGGTATCAAGCCATCACTTTAGCAGTTAATATCTTCTCTCACAAACCTTGGAGTCAAAACATCTCACAGCTACCTCAAAGGTCTAAAGGAACTCAGAATGTTGCTTTTAACAAGCCTGTCATGATGACAGCAACTGTGGGAATACATTTACGTTCTCAATGTCCGAGACTGATACAAGGTTTCTGCTAATAGAATGTATAAAGGGGAGGTGGTGACATAATGGGATTGTCACTAATCTAGCAATTCCAAACTTGGTGAAGTGGATTCAAATCCCACCATGGCAAATGGTGAAATCTGAATTCAGTTAAATCTGAAAATAACTGCTATCTGACAGCAAGAACGGCATGGTGTAAAGACAGCAATCTCTCCATCAATGTCAGCAAAACAAAGGAGCTAGTCAGTAATTTCAGGAAGCGGAGTGGAGAACACGCAGGCACTTGGTAGTCCAACCTCTGCAAAGGAACATCTTACATTTCTCGATATGATTGCCTGGAGATTATTTAGCCTGCACTTACTCACTTGTTGAGAATCTTCTGTCTAGATTAACAACATCCAAAATAGTTAATGCTTTGGCCATTTTGTTGGAAATAAATCTAAGCTTTTTTACAGAAAAAAAAAGATAGTCACATGTTCATTGGTAACCTTTTTTTGTCTGGGCAATCTCCATTTCTTGCCACATTAGCTAATTTAAATTCCATGCAGCAGCTTTCCCACATGGAACTTCTAATTCATGCCACAGAAATTCCTCTTACTTTGTTAAATCTTCGGTGATGTTGCTGGAACATTTGGTTCCCAAACCTGATGCGAGGTGTCTGTAGCTGGATGCCAAGGGGAGGGGTGCCCAGAATTGATGCTCTGGCTCCTGGTGAGAAAAATGGCTGAAGACCTGGGGCAGTCATGCTGTAACCATGAAGGCTACCTGTAAAATTTAATTTTTATGAGAATCAGAGATTTAATAAACAGAATGCATTACAAATATCATGATGCAGACACAATTCACACTGAGTCTTAGCAGAAGTTTGACAATGTTAATTAAAAATAGAAAAATATTAACAAAGTACTTTCCACTATAAATCCTAGTTCAGAAAATGCATTTTGGTGAAACGATCCATACCTAAACAATAAGAGTTATTGAAAGTTAACAATGAGAGTTAAACTTATCTACAAATCAGGCAAATCGTCTGCCTCTCTATAAAAATATTGAGTGCATTACATTCCAAGACATTCCATTCTACATAAAGCACCAAAGAGGATTCAAAGCAAAGGTTCTGGGTCCTCTTTTGTCATTTACATAAATGATTTGGATGAGAATATAGAAAGCACAGTTTGTAAGTTTGCGGACAACACCAAAACTGGTGGCATAGTAGACAGTGAAGAAGGTTTTCTAAGATTACAGAGGGATCTTGATTGGTCAATGGGCTGAAAAATGGCAGATAGAGTTCAACCTAGATAAATGCAAGGTATTGCATTTTGGTACAACAAGCAAGGGTAGAGCTCATCCAGTTAATGGTAGGGCCTTGCGTAGTGTTGTAGAAGAGGGACCTAGAGGTGTAGGTATATAATTCTTTGAAGTTTGCAACACAAAGACAGGATGGTTAAAAAGGCGTTTGGCACACTTGCCTTCATTGCTCAGTCCTTTGACTACAGGAGTTGTGAAGTCATGCTGAGGTTGTACAGGACACTGGTGAGGCCTCTTCTGCAATACTGTGTCTAGTTCTGTTCGCCCAGTTATAGGAAGGATATTATCAAGTTGGAGAGGGTTTAGAAGAGGTTTGAGTTATAAAGAAAGGCTGGGACTTTTTTCATTGGAGTGTAGGAGGTTTAGAGGTTGAGATAGCAGTTTATAAAATAGTGAGGGGTATAGATAGTTAATGGTAGTGGTCTTTTCCCTTAGGACGGGAGATTTCAAGACTAAGGGGCACAATATTAAGGTGAGAGAAGAGAGATTAAAAAAAAAGACGAGGCAATTTTTTTTAAACACAGAGGGTGGTTTGCGTGTGGAACGAACTTCCTGAGGAAGTGGTGGATGCGGGTACAATTACAATGTTTAGAAGACATTTGGATAAGTACATGAATAGGAAAGGTTTGGAGGGATATGGGCCAGGAGCAGGCAGGTGGGACTAGTTTAGTTTGGGATTACATTCAGCATGGACTGGTTGGGCCCGAAGGGTCTGTTTCCGTGCTGCATGACTCTATAAACAGTCCTAAAGTACGTTCTTCTGATCAAGATAACATGGAGGAAATAGATGCGAATCTAGAGAACTATCCAACCAAATGAGTCAAGTATCAAAAAAAAGTGTCAGGTAATACACAAAATTGAGAAAATCAGTGGGTGGGGTTGAAAAACCAAAAAAAGAATAATGATAAGACTGGCAGCCAGGAGTAGTAAGAGATTGGTAAAAAGAGCATGTCTGATTAAAAAAGTGGATTTAAACATGGAGACAGGAGGCATGGTTGAAGTGTCAAATAAGTACTTTGTATCTTTCTTTGCCAAAGAGAGAGATATTACTCAGTCCAGTGTGACAGAGGAGGGAACTCAGTCACAAGACTGATAAAAGTGATATGGCAGAAGTGTTGGATAGACTGTTGGTTAGACTGTTGGTACTTTCAGTTGACAAGACACCAGGACCAGATGAAATGATATCAAGGATTTTGGAGGAGGTGAGTGTAGAAATTGCAGGGAACTGGCTACAATCTTTCAATCTTCCCTAGACCTAGGGAGATGCCAGAAGACTGGAAGATTGTACGTATTACTGTCTTGTTCAAGAAAGACTGTATAAGCCCAGCAATTACAGACCAGTCAATTTAACTTCAGCAGTGGGGAAACTTCTGGAGATAATTATTTGGGATAGAATTATCAGTTACATGGAAAAAGGTGGGTTGACTAAAAAGAGTCATCATGGATTGCTAAATGGGAAATCATGTTTATCTAGCTTGCTGGAGTTTTTTTGAAGCAGTTAACAAAAAGGCTCACTGAGGGTAATGCTGCTTATGTGATGTACATGGATTTCCAGAAGACATTTCAAATAGTGCCACAGGGACCTGTGAGATAAGTTATAGATCACGGAATAAACGTGTCCGTAACAAAATGGAATCAAAATTGGCTGAGTGAGTGGGAAACAGACTAATGATCAGCGGATATTTTTCAGGCTAGAGAAAAGTTTGTAGTGCAATTCCCTAGAGATTGATATTAGGATTTTTGCTCTCATGCAATACATTAATGACCTAGATCTTGGTGTGCTGGAGGCAATTTTAAAATTTAAATTTGACAAAACTTGGAAGATACATAAACTGCAAGTAGAGTGTAGAATTCCAGAAGGAATAAAGATAATTTCTTGGAGTGGGAAAGTAGGGTAGCAGGTGAGTTTCAATGCAGAGAAGTGTGAGTTGATGCATTTTGATAGGAAGAACACTGAAAGACAATATAAAATAGGAGATATAATTCTAAGGGGTAATGCAGAAGCAGAGAGACCAGGGTGTATATACACACAAATCATGAAAGCAGCAGGACAGGTAGACAGAGCAGTAAGCAAAGCATATGGTGTTCTTGGCTTCATAAACAGGGGTATAGAGTACAAGAGGAAGGAGGTGATGTTGAACTTGTGTATGATAGCTGTTGGACTTCAGCTTGAGTACATATGGTGATCTTTCAGGAATCGCTAGTTAGGCAGGGTCCCAGAGGACTGGAAAATTGCTAACGTGACACCCCTGTTTAAAAAGGGAGGAAGGCAAAAGACGGAGAATTACAGGCCAATTAGCCTAACCTCGGTCATGGGTAAGATTTTGGAGTCCATTGTGAAGGATGAGATTTCTGAATATTTGGAAGTGTATGGTAAAATAGGGCAAAGTCAGCATGGTTTCATCAAGGGGAGGTCATGCCTGACAAATCTGCTAGAATTCTTTGAGGAAGTAACAAGCAGGGTAGACCAAGGACAGCCAATGGATGTTATCTAACTGGATTTCAATAAGGCCTTTGACAAGGTGTCGCACAGGAGACTGCTGATTAGGATAAGGGCCCATGGTGTTAGAGGCAAGGTGCTAGCAAGGATAGAAGATTGGCTGTGTGGCAGAAAGCAGAGAGTGGGGATAAAGGGTCTTTCTCAGGATGGCAGCAGGTGACAAGTGGTGTTCCGCAAGGGTCAGTGTTGGGATCACAACTTTTCACTTTATACATTAATGATCTAGATCAAGGAACTGTGGGCATTCTGGCTAAGTTTGCAGATGAAACAAAGATAGGTGGAGGGACAGGTAGTATTGAGGAGGTGGCGAGGCTGCAGAAGGATTTGGACAGGTTAGGAGAGTGGACAAAGAAATGGCAGATGGAGTACAACGTGGGAAAGTGTGAGGTCATACACTTTGGTAAGAAGAATAAAAGCATGGACTATTTTCTAAATGGGGAGAAAATTCAGAAGTCTGAAGTGCAAAGAGACTTGGGTGTTCTCGTCCAGGATTCTCTCAAGGTAAACTTGCAGGTTGAGTCAGTAGTCAGGAAGGCAAATGCAATGTTGGCATTTATTTTGAGAGGACTTGAATATAAAAGCAGGGATGCACTACTGAGGCTTTATAAGGCCCTGGTCAGGCCACATTTGGAGTACTGTGTGCAATTTTGGACCCCATACCTCAGGAAGGATGTAGTGGCCTTGGAGCGGGTTCAGAGGAAGTTCACGAGAATGGTCCCAGGAATGAGAAGCTTAACATATGAGGAAAGTTTGAGGACTCTGGGACTATATTCAATGGAGTTCAGAAGGATGAGGGGGGATCAAATTGAAACTTACAGTATACTGAATGGCCTGGACACAATGGATGTTGGGAAGATGCTTCCATTGGTAGGAGCGACTAGGACCCGAGGGCACAGCCTTAGAGTAAAGGGAAGACCTTTTAGAACGGAGATAAAGAGAAACTTCTTCAGCCAGAGAGTGGTGAATCTATGGAATTCACTGCTACAGAAGGCTGTGGAGGCCAGGTCATTGAGTACATTTAAGACTGAGATAGAGAGGTTCTTGATTATCAAGGGGATCAAGGGTTACAAAGAGAAAGGGGGAGAATGGGGTCAAGGAACTTAGCAACCATGATTGAATGGCGGAGCAGACTCGATGGGCCGAATGACCTAATTTCTGATCCTATGTCTTATGGTCTTATTGTAGTCTTACATTATAAGAAGCATTGGAGAATGCAGAAGCAGTTTACAGGAATATGCTCTTCTGGGCATATCATATGATTTATAACTAATTCATCCATGTCCGCCTTGAGATGAACAGACAATTTTGTACCATTCATTTCCCAAACTTTTTTTTTTGGGGTGAAGGGGGTTAGGGGTTAAAGAGTTCACTACATAGACAGCTGAAACACACCGCACAGAACAATAGACCTGAGCATCTAACCAAAAAGGGTGCAAATTAACATTACCTAGCCGCATCAGTGAGGAACTTAAGCTTTAAGCTTTCTCTGCCATTCAGTAAGAACATGGTTGATCTGATTGAGGTCTCAATTCCACTTCTCCAAGCTCAGAACCCTTGACTTCCCTGCCTACCATAATTCTGTCTAATTCAGTCTTGAATAAATTCAATAACCCAGCTTCCACTGTTTTCTGAGGAACAGAATTCCACTAACAACCTTCAGAGAAAAAATATTATCTTCATTTTAGCTTAAAAGGGAGAATTCTTATTTTTATACAGTGTCCATTATTTCTAGTCTCCCCCAACAAGAGGAGACAGCATTTCAATCCTTTCAGCATTCATCTTATCAAGTCCCTTCAGGCTCTTCTTTGTTTCAATAGATCAATCACATTCTTCTAAATTCCAATTGGTAACAGCAAAACTTGCTTAATATTTCTTAAAATAAGCCCGTCATGCCAGCAACGGGTTGACTGAACCTTCTCTTAACTATGTCAATTATAACCTTTTTCAAATATGAAGACCAAAATCAGCTGTGACTTTACAAAGGCTCTGTACAGCTACAATTAAACTTCCCTACTTTTATACTCCAATCCCCTTGTAATAATTGTCATCACTGCATTTGCCTTCCTGGTCACTTGTTGTATCTGAATACTAATACTTTGTCATTCACATTGATACCCAGATCACTGTACCAAGCTCTCACTAGTTAAATAAGATACTGCTATTCTAACTTTCCTGTCAAACTAGCTAAGTTCACATTTTCCCACATTATACTTTATCTACCAACTTTTAGGTGGGTTATGACCTCCTCACAACTTACTTTCCCTCTATCTTGGTGTCGTTGGCAATATTTAGTTATCCACACATTCAGTCCCTTCTTCCACATAATTGATATAGATAGTATATTGTACAGGTTCCAACATTGTGACTAATGGAGTGCCATGGGGACAGTCTGCCACCTGGAAAAAGACCCATTTATCCATATTCTGTTTCCTGTTAGCTAAACAGTGTTTTATCCAATGATATTATGTTGATCTCTAAACCACAAATTCTTAATTTGCATAGTAACCTTTGAGGTGGCACCTCATTAAAATCCTTTTGGAAATCCAAGCATGCCACATCTTCAGATTTCTTTTCGTCCACCTTGCTGGGGTCCACAAAGTACTCTTAATAAATTAAAAACTAGTACCCTTTCACAATCAAATGTTGATTTTGCCTGATCCCATCATGATTTTCTAAAATCTAATGAAACTCAGTTATAGATTTAAACTGAAATCTCATTGTAGTTAGTCTTAAGGGGACTTTTCTTAGGTTATGGAAATATTTGTCACAGGAAATAGAAGCATCATGAATCGGCAACATTAACTGTAAGTAGCACCAAACTTCACTTCAGTACACAACAGCTGAGAATTGGCAAAGGCCCAGGAAATCACAGATCTATTACAACATTGTCTGAAGCTCAATATACTGGGAGAGTAAGCCATGTTTCTACATCACCATAGATACTAAAATACCCTCTCCATTGCCTTAAATAATTGTTCAGGAAGTGTTTTTGAACAGTAAGTGTTCAATTAATTTAATTAAGGCATGCAGCGAACCAAAAAAAAGTACAGACACAGACAGATAACAAACTTGCACAGCTTTGTGTAGTTACAGGCAGACTAATTTAAAAGATGTCTACATTTTTTTTTCCCCGATGTTAAATATTATTCTAGTCTGGTAAACTATCAAAAGTAAGCTTCAAAATACTAAGATATTATCAAGGTGCAAATGCTTGAAATGTTATAACAAGTACTCAAGAAAGAAATTTACCCTGTTATAACACTATCTTGTATACTTTCTATTAACAGAGACAATATCATGCTACCTTGCATCTGCTGCATTATCAGGGCACGCTGCAGCATGGGATTCGGGTTAAGGAGTGATGGCTGACTGGTTGGACGTAGATTTAGTTGTTGCGGTTGTTGCTGCTGCTGTTGTGGCGGCTGATGCTGCTGCTGAGGGTGGTGGTGTTGATGCTGGTGCTGTTGCATGGCTCTACAATGAGAATTAATCATATTAAAAAAGAAAAATATTTCCCCAAGAGACATGCATGGGATTGAAATAAAAATGTAACAGAAATGGATTTTCCAACACACCATGAGTAACACCAACAATTTTAATCTTTAATGAGTCTAGTAACAATTCATGGCAGTATTGTGTTACGCACCATCTGTTTCTGTGTTAATAATGGCTCTAGAATTCCAACTCTCTGGTGGGACTTACTTTGCTCATGTTTCCTTGTGGCTTTTCCCATTCTAATTTAAGCATTTAAATAGCATGAATCCTTTTGGGGTTCTTATTGTATTTTGACAGCAGGGTTAGATGTAAACAAAGTCAGGAAATTTGCATGTGAAGTAGTTGTCAATGCATCAGGATATTTTCAGAATACAGTTCAGCTTCCCAGTCTGTAACCATCTTCACATCATGTCTCAAAAGGTCAGAAATCACACACACCAGGTTATAGTCCAACAGGTTGATTTGAAAGCACAAGTTTTCAGAGCCTCAGTCCTTCTTCAGGTGTTAGTGAGAGAGGTAGTATCAGACACAGAACTTATAAGTAAAAGATCAAAAGGTTCCCACCATTGATAAAGGTGTACTAAACAAACCTAAGATGCCTAAATCTTTAATCAGTTAGACGGTTTTAATTGATTAATATGTATATGTAAATCCCCGAATTCCTTTAAAGTCACAGTCCTGAGAGAACTAAACACACACGAATCCATGGAGTGAATTTTTATTTGCAGATACATTTTAGTTTGTTCGAAAAGCACACAATTTATAGAGTCAGTCAGTCAATATGGTGTTTTGAAAATTCCTACTTTAGAAATAAAACGAGTCTGATTCCAGACTAAAACACAAACAAACAGATTCTAAACAAGGTCTCACACCTAACATGCATTGTCTGACCTAAAATGTCACCGCTTCTTTACACTGATAAAACCTTTAGTTCTCTAAGGACCATTACCTGAAAGGAATTTGGGGATTTACATATACATATTAATCAATTAAAACCTTCTAACTGATTAAAGATTTACAGCATCTTAGGTTTGTTTAGTACATCCTCATCAATTGTGTGAACCTTTGATCTTTAACTTACAAATTCTGTGTCTGATACTACTTCTCTCACTAACACCTGAAGAAGAACTGAGGCTCCAAAAGCTTCTGTTTTCAAATAAACCTGTTGGACTAAAACCTGGTGTCGTGTGATTTCTGACCTTGTCCACCCCAGGCCAAAACCGACACCTCCACATCAAAACACACAGCAAAACCACAACTCTAATGTTCCACCAATTTCCCTCCAACAGTTACATCTGACAATCCTGAATTAAGGTGAAAGGTCCTTGACCCATCATGAACAATCTAGGGCTTTAAAACACAGCTTTTCAAAACTGGCACCCATCAGGTCAAATTCCTGTCTATACTATGGCTGCAAATTCAGAAGTTCATGCATTCTGTACTTTTTCCTCTATTCTTGCCTTACTATTCGTATTTGTGTTGTTTTTATTGATGTTGCAACATGTCCTGATATAATAGCACCATTTTGTTTTGTCATAGAACATAGAACTGTACAGCACAGGAAAAGGCCCTTCAGCCCACAATACTGTGCCAAACATGACTGAGAGACTGAGTAGATTGGGATTATATTCATTGGAATTCAGAAGATTGAGGGGGGATCTTATACAAACATATAAAATTATGAAGGGAATAGATAAGATAGAAGTGGAGAGGATGTTTCCACTGGCAGGTGAAGCTAGGACAAGAGGGAGCAGATTTAGGACTGAATTGAGAAGGAATTTCTTCACCCAGAGGGTTGTTAATTTATGGAATTCCTTGCCCAGTGAAGTAGTTGACGCTACTTCAGTAAACGCTTTTAAAGGTAGATTTTTTTTAAACAATAAAGGCATTAAGGGTTACGGTGAGAACGCGGGGAAGTGGATCTGAGTCCACGAAAAGATCAGCCATGATCTTATTGAATGGCAAAGCAGGCTCCAAGGGCCAGACGGCCTACTCCTGCTCCTAGTTCTTATGTTCTTATGACGTCAAATTAAACTAATCCCTTCTGCCAGCTCTTGGTCCAAATCCCTCATTCCTTGTATAGTCACGTGCTTACCTAAAAGTCTATCAAACGCTCACATTGTATTTGCCTTCACCACTACCCCTGGCAACGCGTTCCAGACTCCTACCACACTCCGTGTAAAAACTTTCCTCCTCTCACCTTAAACGCATGCCCCCTAATATTAGACATTTCAACTCTGGGATAAAGATTCTGACCATCAACCCTATTTATGCACCTCATCATTTTATAGACTCCCTTTCAAGTCTCCCCTCAGCCTCTCCCACTCCAGAGAAAACAACCCCAGTTTTTCTAGCCTCTCCTTATAACTCATACCCTCTAATCCAGGCAGCATTCTGGCAAACCTCTTCTGCACCCTCTCCAAAGCCTCCACATCCTTCCTGGAATGCGGTGACCAGAACTACACACAACACTCTAAGTGTGGCCTAACCAAAGTCTAATAACGCTGCAACATGATGTCCAGTCTCTTGTACTCAACTCCCCAACTAATAAAGGCAAGCATGCCATACGCCTTCTTTACTACCCTATCTACTTTCCTGGCCACTTTCAGGAAGTTATAGGTTTGAACCCCAAGATCCCTCTGTACATCAATGCTGTTCAGGGTCCTGCTATTAACCGTATACTTTTCCTTAACATTTGATCTCCCAACATTTCAACATTAGAGCCAGAGTCCATCAAAGGTTTACGGTGTCAGCCATGGTTCAATGCAGAGTGTACTCTCTGTGGGACTGAGTCCAATTCCAGAGATCTGAGATGTTACTCAAGTGGAGTACTGCACTATCAGAGATTGAATGATATTAAACTGAGATCATTCAGGTCAAATACTATTAGCATCAAGGGATAAATGAACCAGGCAGGAAAATGGAGTTGCAATAGAACATCAGTTGTGATCAAAATGAATGGCAGAGCCGGCTCAATGAACAGCATGGCTTACTTCTGCTGTTATTACTTATGTTCTTAGATGGACAAAAAGAATCCCATGGCACTATTTTAAAGGACAGTGTGGAGTTCTCATGGTATTCTGGACCAACATACATTCCTCAATCAATCATAAAAACAGACCATCAGACCAATATTACATTACTGTTTGTCAGAGCTTGCTGTGCACAATTTGGCTCCCACAGTTCCTCCTTTATTACAGCGACAATAGTTCAAAATATACTTTGTTGGCTACGAAGAGCCTTTAGATGTCCTGAGTTCATGAAAATGATGTAAAAACACAAGGCTTTTTCCAATTCTTCAACATTTCATTAAGTTCTTGGGAGATTGCAGCAGGTGCAAAGTACATGCAATGACTGTTGCATGCACTAAAATCATCAGAGAGGGCTCTAAAAACTTGTTTTAAAGTGTTACAACTAGAGACCTAGCACATCAGTTGCTGCTGATCTACTGTACAGTAGGCCCCTGCAGTTGGTTATCCATTAGCAGAACCCTGACAGCAATACATCAAACTGCCCTTTCACTGAAATATATACACTCTTAATGAGAAAGGACAGATGCTGAGTGACTTTCTCCTCTGGCTGAAGCACCTGAACTAGTAGAAGTCAAAGTCTCAGGATAAAGGATTGATCATTTAGGGCTGAATGAAAAGAAATGTCTTCACTAAAAGTATTATGAACTTTTAGAGCTGGAGATACTCATCCATTAGGTATATTTATATAGATTTCTGGACTAAGGAAATCAAGGGATAGCAGATACTGTAAAAATATAACTATAACAGCTCAAATTACTTCGAAGAAAAAGCAATTGAAAAGGATTAACAGCAAGTTCACAACACTGGAATGGGGTAGGGAGAGTAGACAGGCATTATTTGTATTCTAGAGTCACGAGGGGGAGAACAGAAAATCAGCGTGGTGAAGGAAATAGTTACATTGAAGAACTAAATCAAAAGGTAAAATTCTGCCATTTTAAAATATCTAAATTCCAAAAGATGAAGAGATGGGTCCCACACTATTCCATCTATAACTGAAGATCAGTGATTCAGGAAAGAATATCAGAGAATTATTTTACACACCTGGTACTTATTCAAGGTACTCTCTAAAGAATTTTCTCTGTCTAATATTAGACATCTTGACCCAGACAAGTTGCAATTCAATTTCTAGCTGATAAAAAGTCCATAAGAAACAAGAACAGGAGGAGGCCATTTGGCTCCTTAAGCCTGTTCCACCATTCAACAGGATCATGGCAGACCCGAAATTCCTCACGTCCACTTTCCTACATGTTCTCTCTAATCCCCGATTTCCTGACTGATCAAAAATCTATCTATTGCAGCCTTAATTATACACAAGGACACAGCATCCACAGCTTTTTGTACCAAGGAGTTCCAAAGACTCTCAACCCTCCAAGAGAAGAAATTCCTCCTCATCTCTATCTTAAATTAGCACCCTTTATTCTGATACTATTCCCTCTGGTCCCACTCTCCCACGAGGAGAAACATCTACTTAGAATTTACCATCAAGCCCCTTAAGAATCCTATATGTTTCAATTAGATCACCTCTCATTCTTCTAAACTCTAGTTTAGCCTATATTCATAAGACATTCCCTCCATACAAGCGATCATCCTAGTGAACATTCTCTGAACTGATATCTGATAATGAAATGACCTTTCCTTAAATAAGGGGACCAAAACTGTTCACAGAACTCCAGATGTGGTCTCATCAGCACCTTAGAGAGTTGCAGCAAAACTTTCCTACTCTTATACTCCAACACCCTTGAAATGAGAGCGAACATTTCATTAGCCTTCCTGATTCCCTGCTGCACCTGTGTGCTAGCTTTGTGTTTCATGTACAGGTACACCCAAGTCCCTTTGTGTTGCAGCTTTCCTCCATTTAAATAATATTCTTTTCTTTCGTTCTCCCTTCCAAAAATGAACAACTGCACATTTTCCCACATTATATTCCATTTGCCAACTTTTTGCCCA